ACGTGTGGGATGAAAGCCTGGCCCTGTACGCTCGCCAATGGGCGGATAAGCGCATCAATGATTGCCGTATTGTCCACTCCAATGGACCCTATGGAGAGAACATCTTCTTGGCGGCCAAAGACCACTGGAGCATTCCTAAAGCCGTGAAATCATGGGTGAACGAAGAGAAGTACTATGACAAGGAAAGCAATGTTTGCCAGCCAGGGAAAATGTGCGGCCATTATACACAGATTGTGTGGAGGGATACGATGAAAGTAGGATGTGCTCGAGTAAAGTGTGAAATGGGGGGCGTCTTCATTATGTGCTCCTACGATCCCCCTGGGAATTACCAAGATGAAAACCCTTTTGCCTCGCACGAACAGTGAGGCAGGCAGCCCATCATCATAGAGAAAGGTACTTAGGGTTGTTTTGTAATGGTGACTAATTGTTAGGATCATTTTTGTTAGACTGAAATATTCTCTTAGCGAAACTAAACCTATTTCTCATTGTACTAAAACCCGACCCTTGGGATGTTAGGGTTGTTTAAATAAAATAAAAGTAGAAAGCTTTTCTCTCTATATTTTATCTGCTTAATTTTAACGGCCTCCATCTTAGGGATGGGCATTTAAATCCGACCCAATCGGGGTGGGGTTTTTTTAAAAAAATTTAAGTTCAGATCAGGTTTAGTGTAAAAAAATCATATCCGACCTGAAAAAATATATAATTTTATCTTATATATTTATAGATAATTACAATAATACCCTTCTATATATAATTTTTTTTCAATTAAGTCATTATTTTTATTGAATAAAAATAATTTTTTATTATTATTTCGGTTCGAGTCGGGTCGGTGAAACCTTATTTTGGTCTGATCGGGTATCTGGTGGAGGCTCTCTTATTCTCGGGTCGAGTGGACCAAAAACCCGACCTATACCCATCCCTGACCATACTCAACAGATGGAGGCCATTAACATTAAGCAGAGAAAATATACAGAGAAAAGCTTTCTACTTTTATTTTATTTAAACAACCCTAACATCCCAAGGGACGGGTTTTAGTACAATGAGAAATAGGTTTAGTTTCGCTAAGAGAATCTTTCAGTCTAACAAAAAAGATCCTATTCTTTTTACATTTTCTACTCCTTTTATTGTTTGTTTAATAACTGGAAATCTTCATTTTTTGGCTACTTTTTGACTCAGTTGTGACAGTTCAGTTTTCTCCGAAGTCCCATTTATAATTCCATTTTTAAAATAATTTCATTTTTTCTTATTCAATTGAATTATTGGATTAATAATTTTTATTAATTGTCATTGATAGTTATTATGTTAAAGCTTAATGAAAAAAAGTTAAGGGTCTAATATTTTTTTCATTTTATGTGTCTAATGTATTTTTCGTTCGAATAAGGTGTTTAATATTTTCGACGTTATTATTTTAAGTGTCTATTCTGTAACGGTCGTTAAAAGAACTCATTACTTTGCCTATATTTTTTTAGCATTTTAACTCCAACATTTCAATTTTGGTCAAAACAACCCTGATGAATAGAAACTGTTAGTTACCTAACGTTCAACACATATTGTTTAAGTGGTGACATGACACATGCCACGTAATCAAAGTATGAAAATGTCATGCTAATAACATGTATTGATAATTAGTTAATTAACGGTATACATCCAAGATGAATTGTTTTGACCAAAAATTAAAACGTTGAGAGTTAAAGTACTTAAAAAGGGAAAATACGTAAAATAATTATTAATTTAAATGTCTAAGAGCTAGTTTTTTTTAATTTAAACATTGTTCTTGGTTAGAGAATTAGGGAAAACTTAAGTAACAAAAATATGAAAGAGCATTTTTTTAAAAATTTTATAACTTGTAAAAAACTCAAAATTATACTTTTAGAAAATATTTTTAAATTTTAAAAACAAATTATGAATATTTTTATATTTTTCATAAATTATTGTTTAAAAATGTTATAAAACTATTAAAACAGTGTTTTAATTAAAATTAAAAAAATAAATAAAACATTACTTATTAATTTAATATATTACATTATAACTTTAACAACAATTAATGAAAATTAACAACCACATAAACATTATATAACTTTTAATAAATTCAATAATTAAAAATATTGTTTTAATATAATTCCCTATATATAAAAAAATCGTTAATCACAGGGTTTATCAGCACTGCAAATTACTTAGTCTGTCTACTTCAGAATAAAGTTTAGGGTAAACTACGTCAGATGCACTTGAACTTTAGTCTATATATAAATCATAATATTAAACTTTCAATTGCTTAAATTATAGGACCAAATTTTAATTTTATATTTGGTCATATTATTTCACCATTAACTCTTTAGTGAGATGATAATCTGAATGGCAGTTATGATGATGTCCAAAATGATCTAAAATGAAGTTGTTTTATTAAAGAAAAAATTGAAGGAAAAAACATCAAATGCACTTTTAGAAATTTAATGCGAAATAAATCAATTTAAAATGGTCTAAAATGATTTTTTTTAGAAATTTAATGCGAAACAAATATGAACGAAATTAAAAAAAAAATCAAATTATATCCCATCGAAATTCATTGGAAAACAAATCAATTTTTCTCACTTTTGTCAAGCTTTCTATTGTAATTTGTGAATGGAAGAATAAATATTTATATAAAAAATTTCAAGTAAAATTATTATGAAAAATACTATATAAAATTAATATATTTCTTATATAAATAATCTTTTAACTAATAAATATTATTAATTAAATTAAATTTTAATATATAAATATATAACCAATAGAGATTAATGTTAGTTCAAATGATAAACAATTTGATATTATTTAAATAATGGATTGAGTTCGAGTAAATTATATAGATATATAGAGTTTACGACTTTGATGGCCCACGAGCTATAACTCGGCCTACCTGATCTCGTGATTACCAAATGCGGAATGACTATAAGTAGTAGTCCCCCAATCAGCCAAACTCCACAGCATCAGAAACACAAGTCCTCAGAGCCAAATTTCAATTTCTAGGCTTTTAGCTAAAAACGTCTCTTCATGTTGCTTTAATCCCAAGCTCAGGCATGGGTCATCTTCAAGCAATGCTCAGACTTGGTGCCTCTCTTATCCACCAACAATGTGCACTCATTTTAATCACTTCTCACCCTGTTGTTTCTTCAGCTGAATCTCAGCTTATCTCCAATTTTCTCTCTGCATTTCCTCAGGTTAACGAGAAGAAGATCACACTCATCCCTATTGATCCCACCACTGACCCTTTTGCACTCCAATGAGCTACCATTTGTCACTCTGCTCACCTGTTTTCTCCTCCGTTCTCGTTTGTCGTCACTGATGTGACACTGCTGGCGTCTGTGATCGAAATCACTGAAAATCTCCGTCTACCTAACTACGTTCTCTCTATTTCGTCGGCTCGAATGTTTTCCCTTGTCTCTTCTTTTCCTTCTATCCCATCATTGATCCCGAAGACATCGATTCCGCCGCCACTTCTGGACTCGAATAGCTACTTCGCAAAGAATTTCCCAGACAACAGTAAGAGCATCAAGCGTTTTGATGGCGTTTTGATCAATTCATTCGAAGGGCTCGAAAAGGAATGCTTTGAGATATTTGCTGCTGCAGAATTAACAGACGGGTTGCCGCCAGCTTTCCCCCTTGGACCGTTTCTGCCATTGCCATTCGAAGGGGGGGGTCTTCGCCTTCTTCACTGATGGAGTGGCTGGACGATCAGAAGGAAAGTTCAGTGGTTTTCGCCTGCTTCGGCAGTAGATCATCGATATCTAAAGAGCAAATAAGGGAGCTAGGCAATGGGCTAATACTAAGTGGATATAAGTTTTTGTGGGTGGTGAGGACTAAAGTTTTCGACAAAGAAGAAAAAGGAGTCGACTTAGATGAGATTGTAGGACACCAAGTGATGAACGAAGTGAAGAACAACAAAGCGTTTGTTGTGAAAGAGTGGGTGGATCAATGGCGGATACCGAGTCACAAAGCGGTGGGTTTGTTCCCATGTCATTGCGGATGGAACTCGGTAGTGGAAACATCTTGGCATGGGATCCCAATCCTGGGATGGCCACATGGTGGAGATCAGATGATCGCCGGGGAGGTCATGGAGGCAGCTGGGTGGGGGATTTGTATGAAGAAGTGGGGATGGGGAATGAACAACCATTTGGTGAAAGGAGTGGAGATTGGATACAAAATCAAGGAAGTGATGGAGAATAAACAATCAGAAACCAAGCTGAAAGAATCGGTGATGTGGCCAAGTAAACAACAGAGGCTGGTGGGAGGTGCGATGATGTGATGAAGAAGCTTCTTCAGAGCTTGAAGAAGCACTAAACAAGTGAATTTCCGTTCGTGTTTCTGTCAGTCTCTATTTATGATGGAGGTGTTTACATTTTAATATATTTGATAAATAATTATGTAATTTATTTTTTAAAAGTAAAACATTAATAAATCAAGGAGTGTCTTAGGATTAAGACCAACTAAACTGAGAAACCACCAAAGCCTCGCCTGACACTTGGTTTGAAGGATCATTTAAATGCCTTACCTTCAAACAATAACGCGTCCTATGCACCGCCAAATATTGGAATTCACATAAGATTAATAATAACTTATGTGATGGATTTTTAATAACTTTCAATTTTTTTTAAATAATATTGATTGTCCCTTGTTCCCATATGTAATGGAGTATGGGATAAGGGAGAAAAGATAGTAGGTTGTCCCCAATACCAGGTTGTCACTACGCATAAATACTTGACCTCAATCAATCACGAGACTTTCCGAACCACCATGCGAACCTCTCTATTCTTCCTTACCTATATTTGTATCAACAAATCCAAGTGTATATTTTGTAAAATAAAAAATATATTGTCAAGTGATGCACGTAGCCGAGTGCTTCGAGCGCGTAGGAACCATGATTCATAGGATTAAAGTTGGTGGACTTAAGTGGAAAAGAATGTCGATAAAAGCTAGGGTTACTCTTATAAAAGATAAGAAACGCTTGAGGAGAAGATCAACGATGCACATCAATGTTGGAACATTTAAGATTCCACAAATCCAAACATTCAGTTTAGGCAAAGTGAAATCAATTTTACCTAACAGGGTTTCACCTTACAAGAACCAAGTCATACATTATTAAACATGACGAGAAATATACACATTTCTTGGTTTGATAAAAAGAACACTCCTTAGCAATACCCTATTACATGGTTATTTCATTTCTTTGAAAGCAACTTCTTTGGAAGCTTATCGAAAGGGGTAGACTTTAACAAGAAAAGACGGGCAGCTCGCTCTTGCAATGTACCACCACATTTTAATCCACGTGCCAGCAGTTCCGATTTCAGCCGCTCCAATCCAAGAGCCTTTAGAAATGATAAAAACAGTTCATGATGTATCATCGTTAAGCATTATAAAAGCAACAGCATCACCATGATATATTTGCTTCAATTATTCAATTTGTCTGGCCCAACAACTTTGTACACAAGAACATGAAGACAAAGCTAAAATAACATCAAATAGCTATGGCCAAATTTACTTGGGCTAAAGGAAAGCATTTGATAAAGTTGCAACAACTACAAACTGCTGAATATCCTATATCATCTAGGTACGCAAACATTGAGTTGATTGAAAGAAGTTTTTTTTTAACGAGCTAGATGTATCAATGGTATTGATCTTTATTAGTATTAAGCCTAGGAAACAGGTAAAAAACTTCAAGTGTTCAACCATACCTCCATTTCCTCTGAAGAATTGAAGTCGTTAAAGTTCAATGGCTTTTCTGGTTCTGTAATGTTAGCATTTGAAACAAATGTTTCTTTGTGAACTTCTGATTCTGGTTTAGAAGAGCAATTGACTTCATTATTAAGTTCACTTCCAACTCCTCCATTTTCTGCAACTGGAACACTGGAATGTTGACCAAAGATTTCCGCCGGATCTTCCGTTTTAGTTCCAATATGTTCCAGCATCTCATCAGCTTGAGCTGCTTCACTTCCGGCATCTGCTTCAACCATGGCAGGAGCATCATCACCACAAGATTCCGAGCTTTGCTGCAGAACAACCTCTTTCTCTTCCTCAGAGCCAGTCTCACTTGAGGCTCCACCTGAACATTCCATATGGACAATATCCTGATTTCCCCCCGAAACCAAACCAGAACTCTCCTCGGTTCCTTTGCTAGAGTCAGAATGATTCCCATTGTTCAAAACTACAGATTTCTCATTCTCTTCTTCATCCTCACTGCTATCATCACTATCACTCTCACTCTCACTCTCACTCTCATCCACTTTCCTTTTCCCCATCCTAAAAGAGCAAACAAAAACGAATAAATGATCAAAACATTAATACCAACCAAAATTACCAGCAAATTATATTGTCTTAAAAACTTACCAAATCTTCAATTTTTTGGGGTCAGCTCCTCCTGGCACCGCCTTCCGCTTTCCATTTTGGCACGCTGCCCTAACGGACTCTTCAACCACCGCCACACACCTAGCTGATTGCTCCCTATACTTCGCTACATACTTCTCGGCCTCTCCATCTCCAACACCCTTTTTCCCAGTTTTTGCTTTCTTCTTAATAAAGTCTTCCGCGATCTTCTCCAATCTCCTCTGTTCCTCCTCCGCTTTCCACTCCTCCAACCTCTTCTCCGCGTTCACATGCCTCAGCCTCCTCCCGCTCATGTCTCGGCACGCCTCGAAATTGCTCGTCTTTTTTTGCCCAGCCTTCGTGGCTGCGCCACGTAGCAGCGATCCGAAACCTCCTTTGCCACCAATAAGCCGGAGGGAGAGATTGAGGGTGGCGTTGGAGTGGGAAATCTGCGAATCGTCATTGAGTTGATGGCCGCGAATCAGGCGCTGGAAGTTGATAGGGATTTTGGTAATTTCATGAATTCGGTGCTTGACATCGCCGACTTGGATTTGAGGGGTCGGGAATTGGAGCGACAAAGTCCCGCCATTGAGAAGTTTAACGAACAGCTGTAGCTGCCTTGGGTTGAGATCCTTGTTGTTGATATCGTTTCCAATAATTTGATGATCTTCCATAACCGATACTTTCGTGATTTGAGAGAAAAACTTCTTTGTTCCGTCTAAAACGAATTTGGGGATCGAGAGGAAATTAGGGTTGGGAATTGGTATCCCGATTGAAAAGAACCCTTAATTTCCCAGAGTTCAAATTTATATGTTAACATAATTGGTATTCGGGTCAACTCCACCGGATGTGGGTAATCCTAAAAGAAAAATGTCAAATATTTGTTTTAGTCCATTTTCATGCAAAACATTGAAATTTAACCCTTTTATAAGCAAACAGCAAAGGTACATTGGGTGCAAGATCACCAGATTCTTTCATTCTATGGTTGATAAAAATAAAATGAGGAATATGGTTCGTTTACTTTATGATGGAGATGGTAATCGTTTGGAATCATTTGAAGCCATGTCTAGTGAAATGGCTCCATTTTTCACTAATCTTATTGGCAGGCATGATCCTAATGTCCAAGACTGTTCTATGGAGGTTCTTAAAGATTTGGTGGGCAGGGGCTTGCCAGAGTCTGATGAGCCTGAGTTGACTAAAGAGGTGACTCTTCAAGGATATGTGGGAGCTTGTCATTGATGATTTTTTGGCTGTTGTTCGATTTTTCTTTCAGAATTCCTCTGTGTTACCTGCTTTTAAAAGCCATGGTCATGGTCCTTATTCCCAAGGTGCCAAATACTTCCATGGCTAAGGACTTTTGTCCTATATCATGTTGCTCTGTGGTATATAAAACAGTCACCAGGATTCTTGTTGGCAGGTTGGCTAGGTTCTTTCCTAGCAGGATCGACATTCGCAGTTGAGGTGCATGAAGGAAGCGATTCTATTTTACATTTTAATTTCTGCTTAGGTTTGAACATTGTTTTTATTTTATGAATTACAATAAATGTATTTTATTATCGGTATTAGTTCATCATTATATGCCTGGATTGAACGTTGTTCCTAGATTAATTATTTTTTTTATAAAAACAATTAATTTTATTAAAAAATTAAAAAATATTTCAAATTATAATAAAGATTTACACCCGTAATAGTAAATTAAGCACATAATTAGTAACAATTCATATAATCATTAAAACAAAACTATCAACTTAAGATTACATAAGAACTATACAATGAAAGATTAAAAATCTAACTAAGAAACTCGAACAAAGATAAATATAAACAAATCTGATTGCATCGACAAAGGAACTACAAAAAGGGATCAAGCTATTAAAAGACCAACGAAAAACCGTAAATCAGACTCGAGCAAGATGGAAAGTTATCTACAAAAGCAAATCCGGTATCTACATCTAATTCGAAGGTCTAATGCAGGGAAGATCAAGAAGATATTAAATAAGCGTCATCCTGATCAATCGTGACAATATCAAAACAACCCTTAAAAAAAATAATAAAACATGTCAATTAACATAAGAAAATATGTCATAAAGACATGAAAACATGTCTACAAACTTATTTAAAATCAAAAAAATAAAAAGATATAGATATAATATTAAAAAATGATAAAATATCGATGGTCGACAACTAATGTTAAATTTAATGTCGCCACCCATGTACAAAGATGAAAAAAAAGAAAGAAAGAGACGACGGGACAGCCTTAATTACTTCCTTTTATCTATTCAGTTTTTAGCTTAATAAATTGAATTAAAACAAAACCATTATGCGCTTCTTTTCATGTGCTAGTCATTTTAATTATTTTATATAAGTAATCTAATTAATTATTTATAATATTATATAAATCAAATCAAAGGTTAAACTAATTAAATTTTTTATTTTTAATTAAATTAAGTAAACCATAATTTAATATAAAATAGGATTTATATCAATAAACTTGTGATTTAACACGCTTTATCAAGCTTTCAAATGACTGAAATAATAGGTCAATAAACCTCAATTGTCAAATTTCCTAAAAGCTTGGGTTTCGGGTTAGCATGTTTGTCAAGTAATGTAAAGGTCAGAGTAAAAGAAATTGAATCTTTTGATTTAATTTGATCCGACTTAAAAAATATTGAAGTTTAAAGTAAATTATAAAATAAATTTAAATAACTTGAATAATTTAAAATTTGCACAATTATTATAAAAAGGTTTCTTTGAATACCCTTTTCCCTAAACACAATATCTACTTTCTCCTTGATGTACATTAACCTTTTCTTCCAGGGCTTTCTCTGCACTCTGATTTTCAAATACAAAATTACATCAGTTCAGTTCTGCTACGACACCCAACTTACAAAGTTTCCCAAACATAGTTTCAGTCCCTAACAAACAACTACCACTACTATTTCATCCCTCTACTAACTGTCAGCAGTAGTTTGGGGCTTGTAATTATGCCAAAACTACATGCTTCTGCCCGACTTAAAATGTCAAAATTAACTCGGCTGTAAATTGTTTTCACTTCCTCAGCTGGCGGCCACTGCGTCGGTTCTTGGACTCGCGTCCAGGAGTTGATGCAGCTTGACACCGGACTTTTTCTTGTACATTTCACCCTCTTTGCCTTCGTTTTTGTGCGTAGTGATTTCCTGTGCCTGTCCCAGTTTAGAAGCTTTCAGTCCCTCCTGTATATTACAAGAGGCAAGGTTAGTTTAAGGAGATAAATCAGGCATGTCGTAAATTAAAATAAAATCGAAAAAGTTGAGGAAGCTTAAAGTGCGTACCACTAATGTAGCATTTTCTACCCTTAGTTTCTCTGATTTTTCAGTTAGTTGATTTATTTCAGATCTTAGTGTCGCATTCTCTGCAGTCAAGTACTCGACTTTACGGGAGAGCTCTTCCGTCTCAGCCTACAAAATAATAATATGGCATTTGCTTCACATTATTCATTGTTATACCTCAAATCTGGTAAAAGGCTCAAAGAAACCATGCGAATACCTGCTTCCTCAACCTTGACCTTCTAGCAGAGTCTCTATTTGATTGTTTCCTCCTCTCCCGTTTCAGCTCCCGTTCATTCTAGTTAAATTTCATGTACGTTAGCAACGGCTTAAGATAGCACAACCCATTGACTCAATGTATAAAACACTAAAAAGTGCATTGACTACTTCAGAAAGAAACAAAATGGGTTCAAATTATACACAAGCTAAAAAGCAATCTTAGATAAGCTGAACAGAAGTAGAAATACAATAATTGCACCCACAAATACCTGCATCCAGACTTCAGGAGGCATTACTGCACAAGGTACGTTCGTAGGACTAGACTTAGGATTCATAGAGGGAGGGTTCCTAAGCTCCAATGTTGTGCTCATGCCAGAGAAAGTACAGCTCCAACTGGTTTAGGAAATAGTTGTAGTTACCTCCACCAGAGCCTTTGCCTCATTTTTCCCATCTCCACCTGATACAACAGAGACAATACATCAATAAACTAAACCTCCAGACATGGAGGTGACCAAATGTATCCCCAGATGGAATTTTCTTTTTTCATTTTCTAACACAAGTTACTTTTAGGAATCACAAAAAAACTTCTAATTATCAGGGACATGAACCAAGCCAGTAGGGCACGTTAAAGGAACCATGCAATTGCAAAATGCCTCAGATTTGACAATCATCCACTACTATACAGAAGTCTGATTAAAACATCACGTGAACTCTATTATTCATCAAGAATATACATGGTGAAGAATGGAGTCATACCAATGGTTGGTGTTCCCTCCCTGCTTCTTTTCCGTCTACTTTCATCCGTCTGACCAAAGACACAGTGATAAAAATAAACTTTAGCACTCTATCCTTAATCATTTTCTAACTTACAGTCGTATAAAACTAAAACCAAAAAAGATGTTGGAAAACAGGATAACCAGATGGGAAAGAGATCTCACCCCCGTCGTATTTCCATCACTACCATCGGTAGAAGCTTCAGTCTCCGCACTGCACACATTATCAAAAAAAAAGTCAAAATAAGAGGAAAAAGAACTTGGCTTTGTGATCTCTAACAAATGAGTTGCTATGGCAAAGTTCTTTAATCTTCTTAATAAATTACTAGTTGGCCTTGAAAAGATTAACAAACCTCTGGGACATTCTATGCTTGGCTGCACCCTCATCGTTCTCAGCAGTACCATTACCTATTGACATAGCAAGGCTATCAAATCCTTTCATCTTCTTCGTTAAACCGCATTCTGTATTCCTGATGACTTGTAGGAGTTTCCACGGCGGTGGCAGTCTGCAGTGCAATGCTCCGGTTATATTCAGCATATGCTAAATACAATAAGCAAAAAGTAACAACTCCCATTAAAGCAGTGTATGTGCATGGGCATAAAAAATAGACATGAATAAAAACAAAATAGCAGCAGTTCAAGATGAATCACTCAACAGACAACCAGAGTTCCTGCAGGAGATGGTGGAATATCATGTCCATCTTATCCTTGGATTTCAATAGCAATCAGATAAAAATACATTAAGGTATAATACAGTACAATAAAACCAGAGTTTCGGTGTTATTTAGCACTCAAATATATCCTAAAGGGAAAAACGCAATTTTCTTTATTGTTTTGTTAACTGTACTATAAGGAACTTGCTGAGTATTACCAAGTTGATAGTTGTATAAAATAGACAGCTGTATAGAAATAAGGCAGAAAGAAAAGGGGAATTATGCAACTGTACATGCACTATCCAAATTCAAACCTCTGAAAAGCTAAGCTCCTAGATGATTTGGTACAAAATTAATACTGTACTCAAAAAGATAGTGACAAAGTAAACTTACTAAAGGAACTGCAGGATGGGCATAAACTCCCCCATGCGGGTAGATTGTTGCATAAGGTGCCCCATAAGGCGGCATCATAGGCTAAACGAAAAAACAAATCAGTATTTTTAATAATTATTTACAGAAACAAATTAGTAACTTAATAATTATTTACAGAGTTATTCAATGATGAACTTAAATAAAAGTTAAATGCCTTGGAGCTGTGGGCAATACCTGTGGAGGACCCCACATATAAGGGTGAGAGCATGGCCAGAGGCCACAGCTGAGTTGTAATATGGTGGCATAGTGACTCGAGGACCATAATATGCCTATATACGCAATAAAGAACCATAAAATCCCCATTGGCAATTTCATTAGCAATATAGTTTTTCTATTTTCATTTCTTATCATTTCTCTTAATGGCGAGTAAGGTGAGAGTTCCGGTT